GAATCAGGGGATCAGGTCTGGGTCGCGCAGTTCTTCCCCCCCCCCCCCCCCACCACCCACTCTCCCTCTCTCTGTCTAGACCCGCCACCATATCCTGCACAACGTCTCTTCCGACGACACGATAAGCCCCCCTATACACCTTGTTGTAGAGGAACGACCCACATGCCGACATGTACAGTAGATACCTAAGGCCGGGGCAGGATGACCTTCCTGGACCCTTTCTGAGGCCGCTACTGTCTCCGACAAACCAACCACGATATAGTCCGACAAGGCGACAAGTTAAAGTCTGGCGGACTAGTTCCAACCTGCGCGGGCATGGGAAGTACAGTACAGTTCAGAACTGTACAGTGGGGGGTGGGGGAGAGGAGATAGGCGTGTGGCCACCACCCTATCTGGTGAAGGGAAGCAGGCCTTGGATATGTGTGTGGCTTGCCATGGATCAATGGGAATGCTCAAACTCTGATGTTGATCTTCCTGCCTGGAATTCCGCAGGAAAGCCAATCACCACGGCCCGTCAGAAAGATGGGCCTCCGGACTGGCTGATGCGGCGCCTGTCCCCTGAATTAGATTGGCCCAGGTCTGATTTCGATGCGCGGCAATTGTAACAATAAGCAACAAGTAGAAGAGAGGGGGGAAGAGGAGGGGGAGGGGGAGAAAAAGCCCGGCATCAAAGCACTGGACAGACTGGAGTTAATTAACTGTCCGCAGAAAGTAGATCTGCTACAAATTGGGCGGCAGTCAAGACAGGGCAGGGTCAACCCCTGCCCATGGTGACAGCTGAGGAGTTCCATGTCCGAGCCTCTTGTTTACACCAAGAATCAGGCACTAGGTCGGCCTTGGTAACTGGTCGCCGTAGTGGTTTCTGCCTGGCCGTTGATGCCTATATGCATGTTAGGTAATTCGGAGTCAACACCGGATGGCACTTGTGAAGCCGATACATGGGTTGCAGCCGCTTGTGAGGTATTTGTTGAATCATGCCGGAGACGCGATGACATGTTGACATAACCTGTCGTTGGGAACCTTATAGTTTATGGTCACCGATGGGAAGCTACCTTAGCATCATGACAGTGCTAATCCAAGGGCAGGTGGTGTCTGTGGTGGGCGGTCATTCCCTGCCTGGTCACCTGCCAGACCTCAAATGCAAGGACCGCAACCAAAAAGTATTACTCGGGTCCTACTTTCGCTATTATGACTCCCTCTGAACAGCTTGTTCAAAAAAAAAAAAAGAAAAAGTACCCCCGTGACAGACTAGGAAACATACTCCAGCAGTGAAGCATGCATCAAAGTAAGGAAGTACTGTACTAACTGCCTCACTCCAGTTCTAGACTCTTTGAACATGCACCCCCCCCAAGAGTCATGCCCAACACGCAGGATTCAGTGGAAAGAAAAATGAGAACATAACCCCATCACAAAACCGATGCTAATTGCTAGTAATCACAATGCGAGACGCAGTCACATAATCAGCGCACATAATGTACATAAATTCTCAAAACCCAGAAGTGTTTCCAAATGTATATCACTCTCTCAATAAACGCCAATAAGTAATGCCAGGAGGTGGAACATCCAGGGATATTCCCCCCCCTCCAAACTCGCCCTTCCCCTCGGATTCTCTTCCCTTTCTTCTCACGAGTCACGGGCCCTGTTCGACCGGCTTACCGGCCCAGAGCTCCAGTGCCTCATGTCTCGTGCTAAATGTACAACAGATGTATCAAGGAACGATGTAGACGCGCTCGTTGGGTTTAGTTGCTGGGAACCTTCTTCGCTTCAATGAGACCGGCCTGGGAGCACATTCGAAGTCAGTAAAATGGTAGTTTTCCTTGTCGTGGCCGTCCGTCCTGCGGCGAGAAAAGCCTTCCCCGGAAAATGGACATACCAAGTGCAGTAACCTCCAAACACCGTCACTGGGCTGTGCGCCAACACCCAACCAGTACTTAGCCCGAGATCGGTCGAGCGAGATATGCTTGTATGCTCTCGCGGCGCGGGCTTCCTCGTCGGAGAGGCCGGTGGGACGTTGAGGGACGGGGTTGAAAGTGCCAATGACCTCTAGGGGCTTGGAGTCGCGGGCCGAACTGAGCGAACAATGGATGTTAGCGCAATGATTCAAGTTCGTCGATAGAATGCTGCTAGGGCAAATTTCAAGACGCCTCGGTAGCAGCACATGCGCTTCAAAAGAGACCTAAAAAAAAATTCACCTACCGAGCTTGCGCAACCACGATGTTGTAAAAGGGCTGGTGCTTGTTCCCAAAGCGGGACAGACGAATACGGACGACCATCTTGGAGGAATTCGGATTCAATTGGAAGAGATTGAGAAGTCACCGAGCCAGCGCAAAGGGAGATCTCAACTGAACAACGAGCTGGAGTAGACCCTCGATCTCCGACTCCGCGGCAGTTTCCAGCCTGTCCGGAGGATCAGTTTGTCCGGATTCAACGCCCGAGTCGGACTAGCGCCGGACGGTGGGGAACATCGATAACAATGATGCAATGCAATCGATGCGAACACTTATCTAGCAATCATGGTGCTGTAGATTGAGTAGCTTTTACAATTAAACCTCTCCTAATCCAATTCGAATAGCCTCACTGAGGACCCGTGCAACGCTGCACTCACTAGCTTAAAATTGACACGCTTGTATGCTCCTCTCCTCCATCCTAAGGCGGAAACCTCCTCTCGCGGCCTCATTCCGGAAATTTAGTACATCAGCCAAAATGTCATTGAAGGTCAGTCGGCTCATGAGCTTTGCAACCTACACCACCAAGAGGGAGCTCGGGTCATTTACATCGTGTTGATTGCGAATAGGCTCTCTCCTCCAAAGATGCCGCCTCTCTGGACAAGGATCTCATGGAGACCGGCGGGTTCTCTCTAGATCAACTCATGGAGCTCGCGGGGTTATCAGTCTCTCAAGCAGGTGCGCGCCGATTCCAGCCAGCCCACCATTCAGCAACAATCCATTCCTAACGCCAAAGATAAAAACAGTATACCGCATCCATCCCCCGAGCGCAGGGAAGAACATTCTCGTCATCTGCGGTCCCGGGAATAATGGTGAGCACTCGATCCCTACCACCTACCACCTACCACCTACCACCTACCACCTTCACCTTCAACGCCACCGCCATAGCCCATCCCCATCCCCATCCCCATCTTATCCCCCAATGACCCAGTCCCATTACAACACCATCACGGACCTAACCACCTCACCCAAACCAGGCGGCGACGGCCTCGTAGCCGCGCGCCACCTCGCGCATTTCGGCTACAACCCAAAAATCTACTACCCCAAGGAAGGGAAAAACGAGCTCTACCAGGTAAGTCAAATTCAAACTCCAACCCCATCCCCAATCCCCTACCCCTCACCCCCAAACCCAACCCAACCCAACTTAAAGTTAACCACTCACAAGCGCCTCAAAACCCAACTCCGCAACCTCTCCATCCCGATCCTGAACGACACGCACGACCTGCCGGAAGCCATCAAAACCTCGCACCTGCTGGTGGACGCGATCTTCGGATTCAGCTTCGGGGGCCCGCTGCGCGACCCGTTCCCGGAGATCATCAGCCAGATGGAAGCGGCGACGATCCCGGTGCTGAGCGTGGACGCGCCCAGCTCGTGGGACATCGAGAGCGGACCGCCGCGGGACGGACCGGGGGCGAAGTTCATGCCGGAGGCGTTGATCAGTCTGACGGCGCCGAAGCCGTGCGTGAAGTTCTACCGCGGGAGGCATTTTGTGGGCGGGAGGTTTCTGACCCGGGGGATTGCGGAGAAGTATGGGTTGGATGTGCCAGATTATCAGGGGGTGGATCAGGTGTTGGAGGTTGGGGTGGATGCGGAGGGGAGGTTGTAGATTGAGGAGGGGGATTGTGTTTTGAGTATCGATGAGACAGAGAAGGGGGGAGTTGTATAGTACAGTACAAGGGAGGGTGTGTGCCCTGGATTTAAGGGTCGTGGGATGAAAATGGATCCACAAGCGGGTTGAAAGTGCTATTCATCTTTCATAGGATGGACAGTCGGGCCTTATGTAGCCCTCCCTAGTGAATGGACTTGACGGTTACTTAGTCAATAGTTGATTTCATGCAGGTGTGCATCGCTATCGTTAACCAATATGTATAATCCCTATGGATATAGAATATCAAGAACTCTCTATCAACTCAGAGAGATACTCTTCAGTTAAGTGCTCGCCCTACTAAAGCGACTCCTTGATTTCACCAATGATGCCCTTGGTTCTCGGCTCCTTCCCAAGTCCAGAGCTCGAGATGGTGTTGAGAAGGGCTTCCACATCGTATACCTCCTTTGCCGCGGCCTTGACCTCCTCCCCCAGTGCCTTGACCAGTGTTCCTAATGCGACAAGGCTACGGTAGACTGCCTCGGAGTCCTTCTCGCCCTGAAGCATCTGCGTAAGCTCTGCAAGAAGCACCAATCCCTTCTCCGACGACTCAGGAGCCGCTTCGTTGCCTCCCGAGGTCAAGTAGACGGCGACATTGATGTAGAGGGTCGCAACAGCGATTGTAAGGTTTCGATTGGGCGTTGATCCGCTGGCGGACAAAGCAGACTTGATGGCAGGCAAAATGTCATCGAATCGGCTTATGACCAGGTTGCGACCAGCTTCCGTTTCGAACAGATTCGCCAGCATTCTGACCGATAGCATTGCATTGTTCACGTTCAATGGAGAGTTGAAAATTCCACTTGTAAGTAGCCCTGTGATAAGATCCTTCCCATCGTAGTCCGCACTAGCGACCGCAGGAGTGGCGGCGGCGAGGAGGCGGAGGAGATCCAAACCGGGGAGTCTGCTCGAAGTAGGCCACAGCGTTGCGACCTTATATAATAAGACAACACCGGTACCTGCGATGGGCGACTCATTCAAGCTCGAGGATTCTAGATGTGTGCATAGAGAAACCACAGTCTCGAGCTCGGATGGACTTAATGACAATTCTTTCGATCCAGATGACACAAGTTGCTCGTTCAGCTCTTGCAACTTCTTAGCAATTACCTTGAGGTTGGCGGACTTGATCGACAGGTACTGTTTCTGAGGGAGGACCTTGGGGCGGGGCTCCGGGGCCGGCGGAGGCTGGGTAGCTTGCGATTCTTGTCCGTCTCCAGGACGGTAGCGTCTTTCTGTCCCCCAAGGGTCGGCACCAGCAGGTGTCGGGCCTTGGCTAGGTTGGCCAAGGCTGGCACCCTGGCTGTTCTGAACGATAAACTGCGCGACTTGATCAAGGTAGTTCATAGACAATTCGTTGTCTTGAATGAACTTGGTTGCGGCCTCATATGGATTTTGAGAGACGTTGTATGGTAGTTTGAGAGGAGGCTTGCCGTCCTCCACGTCGACATCGAAGACATAGTCGTAATCCTGACCCAAGTACTCAATCTTCCTTCCGCTGCTGGCAGCGGAGTCGACCACTGTGCCTACCGCAATCCATTCGCGCGATGCCATCGACCACGTATGGGCAGTAATGCTACCATCAGTCTCACGAATCATCTGTACCTGGCCGTCCTTAGTCCCTGATTTCTGTTTGAGAAACTCAGGACCGGGAAGTTGTTCCTTGTTGATCTTGCCGACTTGCTGTTCCGGAATCGCGGACTCCTTGACCGTCTTTTCGAACTGTTGAAGTACTTCAGCACTTGCGATCCGGTCCTCGCTTCTGGTGAAGACGCGAGTGACCCGATCACTGGCACCTGTGACGATATCCCCAGTCTCCTGGCAAGCAGCAACACTCCAAACCGAGATCGCGGGATGTGTTATCGTTTGCACGCACTGCATGCCATTCCACACTCTGACCGTCCGGTCTTCGCCAGAGCTGACCAACTCACCAGAAGGCAAGGAAGCCAACGAGTAAATAAAACTTTCGTGACCGTGAAGCTCTCCGACAAGTTGTCCTTGTATGGTGTGAAGTCGAATAACCCCATCGTTGCTTGCGGAAGCGAAGTGCGCGCCGGAAGGGTGAGAAGGAGGAAGCTTGCACAGCGCTCGCACGACATCTTGAGAGTCCTTGATAGTTTTGAGAAGTTTTCCAGAGGTATTGAAGATCCGGATAATTTTATCCGCGCAGCCTAATGATTTGTTAGTACTGAGATGACGTGATCGTAGAACAACATGGCACCCACCGGTGATGATTGTGTCTTTATCGTAGGCAAGCACCGTCCAAACGCTTCCCTGATGACCGTCCAAGACAAGATCACATTCCCATTTACCTACCCGCCAGAGTCGGGCCGTGGAGTCCCAGCTTCCACTTACGACCCATCCGCCTTCGTGTGAGACGTCCAGCGCACACACGTTGTGTGCATGGCCTAGGAGCATGGCGTCCGCATTGTCATCAGCGGCTTTGCCGGGTTGCCTCGCCTCGATGATTGTATCTTGTCCGCCAGAGAGGACCAAGCCATCGGGAAAGTCGGGTGTGGGGGGGTAATATGCGAGGGCGTTGATGAAGGCTGACCCGTGAGAAGTGATGTTGTAGTCATACGTCGGAGGCGGGGTAGACACTAGTCTCCATAGTCGCACTGTTGCATCTCGAGATGCTGAGAAGATGGCATTCGGATGAGGAAAGACCACAGCGCGAACCTATGATGCAGCGAAATAAGAATAAAATGATCAGCTGTCGGGAATTGCCAAATGGGGGGCAGGGTGGATGTGGGCAAAGTCGGCGTCAACAGCCGGGAGGGGGGCGTTCTTACATCATCGCCGTGGCCCTCCAGAGAAGCGGAGATCTTGAACTCAGGCATACATGAACTAATGGCCTAGACAAGGGGAGTGAAGTGAAAGAGCTTGGTGGGGGAGATGGAGGGACTGAGGGAGGTGGTTTGAATGAGAAGGATGACAACGATAAGAGTGCAAAGATCAACCTCCAGAGCACCCTGGTGGTTCCTGGTTGGGAGGTAACAGTCAGTAGGCAGTACCTGGGAGCTGTTGCTTAGGGAGGCCATGGTACCTCCGCGGGCCATCACGTGGGCGGTGGCTCAGCTGGCCGGTTTGGGCGGGAAGAAGTTGCTAGAATCGGAGCAGTGGTTGATAAGCTAAATAGGAGGAGTCATGGTTGGGTTGGTAGATAGGTAATTACGAAAGATTTAAGCTGTACATATCCAAAGAAATGGATAAGACTCCCTCAATGGTAAACCACTGAAGGAGTCTGAAGGTGGAATAACGTTACTGAGTAAAATTGGTATGCTGGGTGTAACGCAAGTGCTTAATACGAGTTACAGTACCTCAATATCATTGTACAATATAGGCATAGTAGCACCTCTTGATTAATGATATTTATAAGAATAATTGTATTGGATGTATGTAGTCTACCTGACAAAATGTTGATTCAAGATACTAGGTACTCATCGATATGTCGAGTAACTATACAGTCTTACAGTGGCTGAGATGCATAGATTAGAGTCTCTCACGTGTAGGCGATCTAAACCCAAATAGGATTAGCTCGGGGATGGAAGGGGAATTAATTGTAAGGCGATCTGCGAATATCAAAAAAAGAGCACATCATCCCGTTGATTTGCGTCGCTTTCCTCTCTTCCGACCCCCCTGCTGGGCTCAAATTTCCCCTCGACTGTGTGTTGTAGAACTGAGCTGCCATTTATCATCTTTTTCAACCCTTCTCTGTACGGCCCTGCAGTGTGCGATTGTACAGTTCGACCTCTTCCCCCTCAACTTCTCCAACCCATTCTTAGAGCTTCCCACTCCACCCCCCACTATTTGGGCCAATTGATGACTTGACGAGATCGACGATTTTCCTTCTGTATTTCTACATCCACTCATCTCCCTCATCTTTTGCTTAAACCCGTGATTTCGGTTCTCCGATTGTATCTCTGTTCAAACAGCTTGTATATCTGCTGTTGAAGACAATCATTGCTTGACATTAACGGCCGCCCGCAACTGATCGCGACATCAATACCCAAAGATCTTGTTATAAAGAATCCCAAAGATAGAAAAGCTCAAAATGGCTGCTGGTGAGTCTCGAGATCTTCATCTCTCCCTTTGCACCTTTGCTCATGACTAACATCTCATAGATATTCCCAAAGTTGTGCCATTGACATGCCATGGACATTCCCGTCCTGTGCCGCACATCAACTTCTCCTCCACAGTTGAGGATGACCAGTACTACCTCATCTCCGCATGCAAAGGTACGCTACGCTGCGCAGCCGCCACGGACCCTCATGAAGGTTGGCACACTAATTCACCCGCGCAGATAACAATCCCATGCTGCGCGATGGTATTACTGGTGACTGGTTCGTTTACCTTCCACATCTAGAACCAAAGCCCTGGACCCTCAGACTAATGATCACCAATCCAGGATTGGAACCTTCCTGGGTCACAAAGGCGCCGTCTGGCAGGCACGCCTCTCCACTGACGCCACCATCGCCGCAACTGCCGCGGCCGACTTCTCCGCGTAGGTTCCCAACCCGCGCAATCGTCCGAAGCCAGCCAGCTCTGGAACTAACCTTCACCCGACAGCAAAGTATGGGATACTCACACGGGCGAATGCCTGCACACGCTCCAGCACTCGCACATTTGCCGAGCCGTAGCATTCCCCATGCAGCCCTCGCCCCGCGTCCTGGCCACGGGCGGCTACGAGAAGAAACTGCGGATCTTCGACCTCACGCGCAGCAGTAGCAGCAGCGGCGGTGGCAGCAACAGCTCGTCGCCGACGCTCGCCACGGGCCCGTCCACCCCCGCCGAGGGCACGCAGCCATCCACCGTGACGAGCTACGAGATCGGACCCGGCGTGCACGGCGGCACCATCAAATCCATCGTCTGGAACCAAGACTACAACATCCTCACCACGGCAGCGGAGGACCGCAAGATTCGGTGGTGGGACCTCCGCTCCCGCCATCCGGTGGTCGAGTACACCG